TCATTACTATTTTTTGGTTCCTCTATAGTCAAATCTGTATATGCCGCAAGACCCTGTGCAGATCCTCGTCTTTACCGTTCCATAGTCGGGTCCTTTTCTGCAACTCACATGTGAATGCTGCTGTTGGCGAGATCCTGGCCTAGCGGATTCACCCATCAGGGTGTTCCTAGATTATTGGTGGCTCACACCAGTTAACCGCACAGGTGAGCAAGATTTTTTGGACGAGGGCCCCTTGTCAGGACCCCGCTGGACAGAACGCTACGAGGTCCCACATCGGTAGTGGCATCGATATCTTCCTCGGTAGCGTCCTCGAGGTCTCCGAGCAGGCAATCTAGCTTGGAAGACCCAATTCGTGCACGGACAAAAAGAGGCACTGGAGGAGGCTAGTGCCAGGAAACAGAATGTTTGGACAAGGAGCTGCACTTCTGATACTACCATGCTGGATCTGTGATGAGGCAGGAGGAACTCAACTCGTTCATGGTTTCTCACTTCTTGCTGCAACTCGGCTCAGCAAGCTGTACAAAGCATACCTTGCCCCCATTCGACCTTCCTCGTATGCTTCAAGACCTACTCACCCGCACAAACTATAGAGCAACCAGGATGGTGCTGACAGTCATATTTATTCTTGCCATTAAGAGGCATCATTCTATCAGGCTTCGGTTTGCGACGATAGCCCCTGCGGATCTTCCCGGCCCTGGGCGCAGCAAGCAGCAGCGGCCCCGGTAAATTGGTTTTTGTTTGGCTTAGATGGGTTTATTCTGGCTTTGTGGGTGGGTTAAACCTGGTTGTCATAGGGGCTTCAGGTGTCTTTGAGAGCTGTTCTGTTTTGGGTGTACTTTCTGGTTGGCTCCTGGGACTTGCTTCTTGAGATTCTCTTCAGATTCTTACATGGCATCTCAATGTTCATCCCCTAAACCCTAAGCCCATCTAAGCCCTAAACCGTTTTAGGAGGGGTTCAGAAGTCAGCTGCCGCCTGCCCTGCGCCTTGTCGACAGCTTTCAACTGTCCCCTCTGCTGCTTGGAGGATCATGGAACTTAGTAAGTTAGGAAATAAGCACCTTAAATAGGGCTATAAGCACATAGAAGTATAGTTGCTTAATTTTCACCCTAGTGACCAAATCCCATGATCCTTGTTTAGAGCCCTAGACCATGGGATGCCCCTGTCTTCGACGCGAAACTCTACCTTCAAAAAAAAAGGGAACCCCTTTAAAAACAAAACACGGGTTGCTTCAGGAAAGAAGCCTTCCTGCAGCCGCAACCCCAAAGCTTCAAAATCACGACGCTTCACGAGGACGTAACCTCATCTTGGGGCAACCTCCGGGTTTCCAGGGCTTCTAGGGCTCTGAACCCCCCAAAAGCGCAAGCCTTGCTCAGTTGCGTCGCAGCTTGAAGTGGTTCCTTGTAGTACTTGCAATCCCGCAGAAAATGTTACCCTGACGCAGACGTGGTCCCCTTCATCTGACTATAAGAGAGTTTCCGAAAATTAGGGGTACCTTATGTTGGGGTCCTGATAATAAAGATCCTATTATTTAGGGTACTACATTAGGGTCCCCTATTTTCGGGAACCCCCACAAGACTATAAGAGCCTGAACTCGTCGGCATGAAGTTTCCTTGCAGTTCCCCAGTGCGCCGATAGCACAAGCCCCCCGGTGCGCTCTTGCAGGGCCAGAGCCTCAAACTACTCTACTTGGAGGTTCATGGTCAGTTATAAGTGGGGTTATAAGTCCCCTAACATGGGTTATAACTATAGTTACCTTACTTATAACCCCACTTAGAACTACCCATGAACCTCCAAGTATCCTGTTCGCTTCTAGCAAGGCAAATGACGTTATGTTACACCATACTAAACTATGTGATGTTGGTATTTTGCTATGTTACCGGACCCTTATAATGAGGATGCAGGATCTATGAAACCATTCTGGTATGCCTTAGAGGATGCTTGAAAGGAACCCTGAACCCCAAACTCCCAAACCATCATGAACATACTGTTGATGGACAAAATTCTGCATGACCCAAATATAGTATAATACCATAAATCCCATAGTTTAGGTATATAAGGTCATGCAGGATTTTGTCCATCAACAGTATCTCAGGCCATGTACAGGTTCAAGGAGATCCAGACCATTCCCCCTGCGAAGCAGCTGGTGGACATTGCCCGATGCTGAATGCTTAAGGCTTAGGGTTTAGGGGGGAAAATAGTACCTACAAAAAACAACAACCAACAACAGCACATGCAATGAATAAATGAATAGTTTAGTTTAACCAGAACACATTAAACATTCATCTTGATTATCTAATGCACATGACAATTGTTTTAATGTTTCTAATTTCTGTTGTTCAATTTGTTTAATTGATTCTTGTGTTAATGCTTCTTGGTTAACAGTAAATTTAAATACATTTGATGCATTGGTTGATTTTGATTATTTTCACTTCGATGACCAAAATAACATCGAGGAATATGCTGTGCACTTGTCCTAACCTTAGCGGGGTTCTAGGGTCCCTTGAGGGTACATATAGGGTATATAGTAGGCTTTTAAGGATCAGGGTTAAGGGCCCATACTCGGGGCCCATGGGTTCAACCGTAGACAGAGATAGATGCTAGATTGTAGGGAAACCCATAGTCTCCGAGTCGGAACAAACAGTAAAAATTGCTCCCTGATGGTATACTGTACCCTAGCACCCTGTTCCAACAATTAAGGCCCCGATATTATCTTACAGCCGTGATGGTCGGCTACATTTGTCTGGGTGTCATCTCTTGGATGCTACAAGGGGTCTGAATTTACGTGAGGTGGCGAGTGGGATTAACAGCCTTAACCAAATGGAACTGAATGTTTGAACCCCAGACGGCCCTATGATGCTTCAAGCTTCAGAACATAGGTATCTCTGATATCACGCGGGGTCTCTATGTAGGGTCCCTTTCAGTCATCATACTATGCTACAGATGGACAACCCCAAACTCTGGGGAGTACTTTACTCGGGGCAACGCAGGATTTGGTGCATCGACAATGTTTTTTCAAAAGCCCGATGATGAAGTTTTGCAGCAAGACCCTCCTAAAACCACATGTTACAGCACCCTAAACCCAAAGCTCTTAGAAAACCTCTTGTTCAAGGAACCCTGAAGGAACGCTAAACCCCCAAACCTCCAAGCACTTGAAACTTAAGTCTAATGTAAGACGACACCCTAAACCCTAAACCTCAACCCGTTGCCTCAAACCCCATGAGAGAGTGCTCGCCGGATCGAAGTACCCGAGGTCTTGTCGAAGACCCAGCGAAAGACACCAACGGTCGTTCATCCAGGAGTCGCGGGCTCTAGAAGACTTCGATAAGATGGGGGTTTAGGGTTTAGGGTTTTGATTTATATAGAATTTGGGGGGCGGACGGGTCCTAAGAAGGATTCTAGTTTGGTTCTAACCAGGTTCTCTAAAGATTCCTGTGGGATTTTGCAACCTTTGGCAAACAGTGTTCTACAGCTGTTTGCGGTTCTATAAGAATTCCTTCGGTGGTTCTACCGGGGCTCTATGCAGGTTTTTGTTTGGGTTTTACAAATGTTTGGAGTATCAGTAGGGACGACCAGCCGCGGGTTTGCCAAGATCTGAGGTCTGGGTTTGCTTTGTTTCCTGACCATTAAAGTAATATAGGGGCCTTAATAATTTCCTGTACT